TCTCTGTTTTTCTGTTTTTTCATCTATTCTTCATTTGTACCAAGGTTGCGCCACGACGACGACGACGACAACGACGACAACAACAAGAACAGCAAAGACGATGTGATTAAGCCCACATTCCACTTTTTGTCGTTTTTTTGCAAAGCTCAAAAATACAGTGCAAAGAAGTAAAGCACTGCTTTCAAGGGGCCAATTACCAGTAAATTGAAGTGAGTGAGTTAGCGAGTGAATTGTGTAGCAACCAAATTCAGTTTGCCGCTGCTGCTGCTGCCCTTGTTGTTGTTGTTTTACCAGACAGCCGGACAAAAGCAACAGCAGTGGTGAGTGCAAGAAAACAGGCAGGTAATTAGCTTGCTGCAAATAAACTGAATTTGGTGCAGCATCAGAACAGAGGCAATGGCGGCGCTTGTTGACAACGACAAAAAGGACAAAGAGGACAAGAAAAAATAAGAACAACAACGCTGCAAAACAATTACACCGAAGATGAGGTAAACAGATGAAGGTACCAGGAGAAGGTACAAAGGAGAATTAAACGGGTAAAATGTGTAGAGCTCAAAAAGAGGGATAATAGATTTATCGACGACGACAATGATGGTGGAAAGGGAAGACGGCGTGGGTTTGTACGAAGCTTGTCATGCTTTGTGCCTCTCTTTGTGTGTGTGTGTGCTTTAGTTGTTAAAATGTCGCCGTGAAAGCGGCGTTTACAGGCTAAATTCTCGTTGTATTTTCCCGAACACAATGGCACATTATTTTATTTCGCTCATCCGATGTGTGTGTTTGTTTTAGCCAGCAAGAGCGCCCACAATCTGCCAACGCCGCCGTGCCGTGTTCTCTCACCTGCTCGTCTGTGTGTCAACCCTTGTCAATTTTTTTCTTTCTTTTTTTCCCCCTCACCGACAACTCTGTTCTGTTTTGTAGTGCACTGTATTAGCGAGCAAAAAGAGGGGGGAGAAAAGAAGAGGAGAAAGCCTATTTGTGCGAATCACCATCGACAGCATCAGCGACGGCGGCAGCATCCTCAACTGTACCATTGTTCCATCACACGCCAGTGTGAGCCCCGTCGATGGCAGCCAGAAAAGTTTAGTTTAATCCCCCCGTTTAATAGTGTGTGTGTAAGCCCACTGTGTACTGCACTGAAAAAGAATTGCCACATTAAAGAAAGAGAGGGAGAGAGAATGAGAGAAAGAAATACATTGTACAAAGCTCCGGTGCTGGAAAAACGAGCCTGCCGGTCCTAGCACCTTTGGCACCCTTATCCTTTACACTGAATTGTCTTTCTCTCTATTTTTCTTTTTTCCTCTCGCTGCATGTGAGCCCTCTTTCCAAATGAAACAGAATAGAAGACCAATTTTGACAAAGTATTACCAAGGTTATATAGCGCTAGTGCTGATGCTGCTGATGCTGCTGCTGATGCCGATGCTACCAGTGCAGTGCCACTTTGCTAAACCAAACCTATCCGAGCCGAGAACTAACTGTATAAAAAGTTTGACAAAAAGACCAAAAACTAAAGTGTACAACGGAAGTGTCTTAGAATTGGTCACAAAACAACCACTCTCTGGTGGTGGTGGTGGTGGTGGTGGTGGAACTGTGCGCCTTTTCTCAGCCGAGACTGCCGAAAAAACTTATTGAACCCTAGCACTTAGAGCTTTTGGACTGATTGACCGCCATTATTTGATTTTCCTGCTCTTCTAGTAGTGTTCTTATGCTTTTTTCGAACGCTCACCTCACCTCACCTCACTTCACCTCAGCACTTAGCCGGGCACTAAATGCTTTAGCGGCAAAACGCTGTAATGTAATGTAGTTTGTTTATTTTTCACCGAAAATACTTTCAGCGCTCAAATTGTTTTGAGTTGATGCAATTTTAACATCAAAGCGCTTGAGCTAGCGCTGCCCAATCATCAAAGTTGATTTTTTGGCCTCATTTTTGGGGAGAGGGTGCAGTGTGCAGTGCAAAGGCCAAACACTGACATGCTAGAGCAAAACTCAACCAAAATGAGCAGAGAGCATAAAAAGAGCAGAGGTCGATATGAGAGAAAGAAAGAGAGAGAGAGAGAGAGAGAGAGAGCAAATGTTGAATGTTAAAATGAGGAAAAAGAAGAATAAGGTTTAGATGGAGATCGATAGAAATGGCGAGCAAGCAAGCAAGCAAACAAGCAGACTAGCGGTTTGTTTGCTGCCGTCGCTGATGCTGACTTTATCTTTCACTTTTTCATCCACCCTCGCCTCTCTCTCTCTCTCTCTCTCTCTCTCTCTNGACAGCAAAAAGAAGAAAAGGGAAAAGGAAAAGAGAATGAACATGTGAAGTGAATGTGAGAGGGTGGAGGGGAGGGAAGGGAAGGGGAGGGGGAATACGTTGGTAATGCTTTAGTATTACCATCATCTCTAGTAGTAGTAGTAGTAGTAGTAGTAGTAGTAGTGGTGGTGGTAGTGTTTGCAGTAAGCTTCGGCCTGACTGCTGATCACTTGCACTGTTTTACTCTATCTTTCAGTGTGTTTCAGGGTGTTCTCGCGTGTAATGCAATGCAATGGCAATGGATTCTACCAAAAAATACTTCTTTATATGCGCTCATTGCCATTGCTCTCTCTCTCTCATTTTTTCATTCTCGCGTGTCAGTTGCCAGTGACAAGAGACAAGAGATGAGATGAGGGGCAAGGGACTCTGAAAAGTGATGGTAGTGGTCTGTGGTGAACGACCAACAGCAGTAACAGCAGCCTCAAACTCTTCATTTACTTTCCTTGCTTCATTTGGTTTTCGGTTTTTTTATTCTGCTCTTTTCTCATCTCGCTTTTTAACATCAGCAACAACAGCAATTTGTCAGCCACAATTGCAGCAGAAGATTCGCTGGAAAAATGAGATTCTGAAAAATAATAGGAAAAAGAGGGAATAAAAGAAAGCCAAAGTACCGTTGGGACATTATTATAAACCAATTTTCAAGCTTTTTTTGCCCAGGCTGCTAAAGGGGTTTTCTGATGAAAAGAAAAATGGGCAAAAGCACACTCACAGCTAGGAAAACATTTTTACAAATGAAAAACGAGAGCACGACAGAAGAACGGCAAAAAAAAGATGCCGTGAGCCATTTTTGTCAAATGGAAATTAAGCACCAGCTCTTTTCCTTTTTACTGCACCACACACACGCACACACACTTTCCCACAGCTTGTACGACCGCTTTTTGTACATTTTTACTGCCGGTACTGCAGCTGTCGTTGTTACCGTTTTTGTTGGATGTTGCTGCAGCACTCTNTACTGCACCACACACATACGCACACACTTTCCCACAGCTTGTACGACCGCTTTTTGTACATTTTTACTGCCGGCACTGCAGCTGTCGTTGTTACCGTTTTTGTTGGATGTTGCTGCAGCACTCTGTTTTTTCAAAGTCAGTGATGCTGATGATGATGATGCTGAGCTGGGCATTACCGTTTTAGTTGCCGTTGCTGCTGCTGCTGCTGCTGCTGCTGCAGTTGTCAGTGACCATTACTTAGCATTGTGATTGAGAAAAAAAGAAAAAAGAGCAGAATGAAAAAAGAGTCTTGTCCGGCCCAGTGGCTCATAAAACTCCTTTCGCTGGCAACAGCAGCAGCAGTATTCCTCACTAGACTGAGTAGTGAGTTTCCTTCTTCTAAAAAAGACTGAAAAGCTGTATTATAAAGCGAGAAGATGCGAGGACGCGACTACTTTAGCTGTGAAAATTTAACTAGCCCCAGCTCTTTTTATAGCCCGCTGGAAAGGCTTTGAAAAGACAGTTTTAAGTGATAAACGAGCAAGAGACGCTGGACGAAGAAAAAAGACGGCTTAGCAAAATTGTTATGCCTAAGTTTGGATAAAAAAAATAATAAACAAAAATAGATAAAAAGTGAAAAATTTAAATAAAAGAGCAAGTGGCACAAATAGTAAAATAGTAAACAAACAAAAAAAGTATAAAATAAATAATTGAATTTAAAAACACACACTAAAATGAAAGTGAAAGTGCAAGCAGACAAAAGCAATAAGCGGATTGCCAGTTCCTATTCAATTGACAACGGTTATATTGTGTCAGTGCGAGTTTTTGTTTTTGCAAATATGATTAGATTGAAAAAAACTTATAAAGTCAGTAAAATTAAGAACAAAAAGTGCCACTAAGTTTTTAGAAAAAAAGCAATTTAAAGTGACGGCCAAAAAAGGACAAAGAGAAAAGGCAAATTTTATTTGAAGTTAAAACTGGACCTGAAAATTGGCAGTGAAAATGCTGCTGGGAATTAAAATCAAAAGCAGTGAGCCGGAAATTGTTTGTACTACCACTAGCACTACTACTACTACTACCAATACTATCACTACAATTTGAAGTACAAACAAGTGAACGACCAGTCAATCAACCAAAGTGATCGATTGCCCTCAAGGAGTGTCAAATTTGTGTAGAGTGGGTTTGCTGTTATTGCTTGGAATCTCTGTGTGAGTGTGTGTTCTTGTGCTTGTATCTGTGTCGTACAGGGAATAAAAAAATGAAGAAGAAGAAGAACAGAAAAAGAGTGGGACATGGCATAAGTGGAATAGAGTCAGATTGATTGGATTGGAAAAAGAATGAGAAAGAGAGAGAGAGAGAAGCCAACCAAAAAGCCGCGATAACCAGGAAAAAAGAATCTGCGGCCAATCGGAAGCAATTAGGATCCGCAACCGCAGAACAGGAGAAAACGGCGGAGAAAGGGGAAACTAAACAGAACCAAACAGGAATGGGCATCATTAATTAAAGAAGAAAGTAAGAAGAGGGAAAATGAAAGGAAAAGAAAAGACGAGACAGAATAAGAAAAAAGAAAAGAAAAAGTGAAAACTGAGAAGTGAAATTGAAGTGGTGGTAGTGGTGAAAGCTCGAATATGCTGCTGCTGTTGAGATTGAGAATTGCGAGAAATTAGAGAAAGAGAGAGAGAGAGAGAGAAAGAGAGAAAGAGAGAAAGAGAGAATGATAAATGTGAATAGAGACAAATTATTAATAATAAAATAAAAGTATAAAGCAAAGAGTATATTCAGGAGTAGGGGAGAACGGGCGCTCCGACGCCACCTCGACGGGCGATGAGCAGCTCGAGAACGGGCGCCTTGCGAATGAACTCCACCGCCTTCTTGTGGGTCATCATGGTGAAGTCGATGTCGTTGCACTGGAGAATCTTGTCGCCAAAACGGAGACCGGCACGCGCCGCCGGCCCATTCGCATCAGTGGCTGTCACGTAGATGCCCTGAAGGCCAATATGAAAAAAAGTTGATTAAAAAGTTATCAAAAATGAACTCAATTCAGTGAAAAAAATTTTTTACATTGTCGGTAAAGTTGTGCGGCGACTGGCGAAAGTCCTGGTCAATGCCGCCGCCGATTTTGAAGCCGCAGCGCAGCACCTCGCGCCCCTCGCCGTCAAAGACCTGCTCTTTGTACAGTTTTATGGGGATCTAGATTCAGGGCAGAAAAATGGTACAAAAAGAAGAGTGTTAAATTGGGCATTTTACATTGACAATAAAAGTAGTGCTGTTAACAGCCAGGCGTTTGACACTTACTGAAAGGCAGGCAATGGCGTCGCCGGCAGTGTGCTCAAATGACGCCGACATGTCCTGCAGATTACCGTACGATTCCATGTCGTCTGTTTCTTTGGTCTGCAAATTGTACAGAACAACAACAACAGCGACATAAGTTAGATGTCAAAAGAGGCAAACGATGATTGATGAGTTTTGTTTGCAAAGGAACTGACTCAAAGTTACTCACCCAAAAATGTCTTGAGCTGATTTGTTTGTCTGTGTGTCGGTATTGCCAATGCAATGCAAGTGCCGGACTTCTACTCAGCAATCACCACAGCAGTGCAAGCTCACTCACTGACAATAACAAACAAACAAACAGCCTTGAAATGGGCAACACGTTTTCGGCTGCTGCTGTTCTCTGTGTGTGCATTTGGCTATTTGTTGCACTGCCGCGCAAGGAGATGGCGCAGCAAGTTGGTGCAACGTTCTATTTTGAAAAAGCTTGATTACATTGAATAAAAAGTCGTTCATTGAATGTCAATTAATTTAGTTGAAAGGATTTATTGATACATTTTTTAATTAAAAACTTTTTATTCAAATTTTATTTTAACTTGAATTAGTTTAAATCCTTTAGAATTACTTATTTGAATATTAATTCTAAATGTTTTTCATTACATTTAGCTAGTACACATTTTGTTGCACACATAATCATAGCAGTGTGTATTGAGTGGTGGACTATGGTATGATACACTGTAACTAATCTTATCACATTTTGTACAAACTATTATCATTATTATCATCGTCATCATCCACTCTTGTTCGAAGTTCACACATTGTGCTCACTTACACATCTGTTTCTCTTGTTCCTCTTAATGACAGGCATAAATGAGACACAGCTGGAAAAAGAACTAAGTGCAACACACACTCACAAATGTCACACTCTGCTATAAGATCAAATTTACTAGCATCCTAATTTTTTGTAATATAATAATATGATGGCAACGCTATTTTGGCACCATTATTATTAAATATGAATAGTGGAAACCACTAAAATAAATTTTGTTAGCTGCCACTTTGCAAATGGTGTTGCAAATGGTGTTGATTGCGGTTACCATTTATTTGCACAACAGTAGCGCACCTGTATTTAACTTCTCTCAGTTTTAGTGATAATGTTGGCACACAAAAAACGTACGATGAAATGGCGGCAAATAACATTTTAATTTTTACGCTGACTGTTTTTGACAACATTGTTTTATTTTAAATAAAAAACTAGAATTTTGTTAAATTTTAAAACAGAATTTGATTAATGAAAACACAGTATTTGAAATTTTATTTTGTAATATTTTATTGAATTAACAATAACAAAAATAAAAAATTTAATTTCATTGTTAAAACGATTACAAAAAACAAAATAATAAAAAATAGCTAGCAAAAATGTACTCTTACACTAAACACAAAAAAGCCAAAATTTAAAAAAACTAAATACAATATAAAAATCATTATTATTACAACAGAATAAATGCAGGCATGTTTGTGGTGTTGGTGGTAGTGATGGAAATAGGGGTAGAAATTAAATACATTTAAGATTGTACAACAGAGAAAGAGGGCAACTGGTCATGTAAACACTTTCACTTTGTAACACAAATAAAAAACTTTATCAACATCTTCATCTTCATCATCAGGAACAACATTCTACTCAAACAAACTTGACAAAATCTTTGGGCTCTTTGGAGTCAAGCAGTGCCTTGCGAATGGCGGCGTACACGGTGTCTGCCTTTTGGGCGG